AACAAATAGCACAAATACTTGTTTAAAACATAGTGCAACCTGGCAGCTCTGTCCATGGAGGGTGGATAAACTTGGGATGCTCACTTGTGATACCAGGGCTGTCAGAAAGGGGGCTGCCCCATCGAAGGTCCCCAAGGGAGAACAAGGTGCCCACACAGCAGGACTTGATGGGGAACTGGACAGATTCTGGTTCTGTAGTATAAGGACTCTGTCACTTGGAGAGGCTAGGAGGGGGGCCTGTTTGCTACTGTGCTTGCTGTGGTGGGGAGAAACAAAACACAAGGACTCTGCAAGGAGGGGCCTGAGCCAGAGGCAGGCATTTTCACAGCTACTAAATGATAAACAACTGTTTGCTTATTTGTTGGTTGGTTTTTACGTCCTGCCAGATGATTGAGGATGCACCCCAGCTTCTGCTTTGTGAGGGGATCTTAGTGGTTAGGAAACTGCCTAGGAAGAAATAACCATCCCTTTCTTGCATAGTTTCTACAGCGCCTAACTTGAGACCAGCTGCAGCAGTCGGTAACATGAGTGGACTCTAGCATAAGGGGCCAAGTGTGGTTGGACATTGATTCTCTAACCTCTTGCTTCTGACCTCGCGCCTCATGTGCTCATCTTAGGGTAGCTATCTTCATTAAATCTTGTTCATTATTCTGTTCTACTGCATGGTTGGGGGCGGTGGGGGCTCCTAACCTTGATATGCATTGGAGGAAAGCTCCGTGTAAGAGTGAGGTAGAAGTCTGGGCTTCTTGTCAGATTTAATTTTGCTTGTTAAGGGGGCTCTTTGGGAAAATTCGGGTTCCAGTGAATCACTAGGCCGAATCCTAGTAACTACAATTGCCAGAAGTAATTAGACTGAGGAAAGCCAGGTTGCTGGGGAGGAGGTCATCAGAGCATGTCTGAGCTGTTACTCCATGGTCAGACCTAGTTACTTGTCCCTAAGGAGTAGGAGCAATCAGGAGTTACAGAGAGCAGGAAATCCACCAGAAAACAATACTTTCCATCAGCGCTTTCCCCTCAGTCGGTCACCCAAGAGATCAAAATGGGCCGCTCATATGTGCACAGTCCTGGTCCTGTGCTCTTGTGAGCCACCTCTCTGCCTGCTGAGCACCGAGAACCGCCCCATCCACCCCATCACTCCCAGCTCTCCTCCTCCCTTCCTGAGCAGATGAAAGAACCTAAGGAATTCAGCCCCAGCCTTCATAAAAGAATTATCTTATTAGGAGGGAAGGGGAAGGGAATGAGTCTTTGTAAACATCCTTGAGTCAATTTAGATAGATTTATGGAGGGAATGCTTGACAATAAGAAGATGGTACTCGCATTCCAACAGAAGAGCAGTTCTAAACTCCAGAGCTAAAAAAGGCCAGGAGGAACTTGCTCTTAAAATGACACCTTTTAGAAATGTCATGGCTGTAGGTACTTAAATAAAAATTGCCAACAATTTTGATTGTGATTGCCATTCTAAGCTTTCATTATACGAACAATTAAAACATCGTTACATTTTTCCATCAGAATATATTCAGGAAGCACAAATACAGTGTATCTGTGCTTGACAACCATGGTGAGTGTTTTCCTTGGAAACCATAACCATTTCTTTGAATATCCAGAGGGGATATTTTGTTAGCTCATTTGATAGATTTCAAACAAAGACTCAAAACTCCTACTGGTCACTGTCCTTCAAATTTCTAATTCCTTTGTGATTCAGAATGACTTCGGTCTGTTTCCATACTACTCTTGAGCTCAGAACACTATTTTTCTGTTCAAACATGTGGACGGGTGATATTATTTGTTTTAAGTATGCAAAGAAGAAGTCACATTCTTTAGCCAGGGTCTTCTGTCAACCACAGGCTCCAGGTACCAGTTTGCTAATAAAACCTTAACTCATGCACTATCTGTACAAAAATATAGAACAAGATATTTGGTTTTCTTTAGATTTAATTTGACAGTATGGTAATCTGAGAATAGAAGAATCCTAATTTTGTGAAATTTAACTGCAGAACTTTGATCTATACTAATACTAATATGACATATATATAAATGACACAGAAAAAAGTTACTTGGTCACAAACCAATTATAGCATGCTGAGCAGCTACATACTTGCTTCTTACAGGGTGTAGTTTTTTTTCTCAGTTTAGGATGATGTTTTTGATCCAGAGTCTAAAAGGACCCACATGATCTCTTTTTAAAGAAGCAATTCAGACCCAAGGATGGTATCCAAAGCCTCTTTGGCCTGAATTCATGTATTCATTTATGCCAACCTCAAAATGATAACTCTTAGCCCTTCCATGAAAATGGAATTCAAGTTGAAAAGGCCCCATCTCTTCCTCACCCAGAGAGAGACCTCCCAAGTCTACCTGGAGCCTGATGCTGATCTAGTCCTTTAAGAGGGTTGTGTGGGATACCCTTGGAGGCCAGCTGAGCTCCCAGAACTTGTAGATGAGTCCTTCCCCTTGGCACAAGCACTAGCACCTGCCGTTACACCCCGTGCCAAGCCTCAGGGATGCAGCCTTTGATACATGTGTGTTTGCAGACATGTGGGTACCGTGTGCCCATCCCTGAAAATCTAACTTCTAGGTTTCAGGCCTTCTAGAGAAGCTCCATGCCTTTTCAGGCTTCTACCACCTTCAGTGTCTAGGAGAACGCTCATCCTACTGACATTCCAGGAATTCATTAAAAACTGTTTTGCCTCTAAATTCATATCGTGTATGCTACAGATGGAGTGCGTGCAATCCCGGAAAGCCTGTAACAGTTTTTAGCCAGACCGTTGAATTCGTAGGCCACTCACTGGGCAGACGCAGCGTCACTCATGAGATAAGGACATGGTTCCAATGGATATCACCATGGTTTTCCAACACAGTTATGTTGTCTCTATCTTTCTTGCCCCAAATTCATTTCCTCATCCAAACCACTGCTCAGATGAGTCGAGAAGCCTTAATTTTAGAATCTTCCAAAGAAAAAATAAACACGCACACAGCTGAGTTAATTTATAAAACACGGCTGCATTTATCTTGGCAGATTTCGCTTCTCTCCCCGGCGTACAGCCTTCGCGTGCTGACTCTACTTAGCAGCTCAGGGAGGAACAAGTTGTTGCTATTTATTAAGCACCTTGAGTGAGAGTCACAGCACAGGACAAGTTTGGTGTTTCTTCACACTTCTTATAGAAGTTTCTTTGGCTTATGGATAATTTACTTGCTGGGTCTCTGAAGCCTACATAATACTTTTTCTTTAAACCTGAAGCAAATACAGAGTCCTTTTTACAAGAGCAATAAACTGAAGTGGCTATTCAGATACTTCACTTGGATTTCTCTGCACACTGAAGTACCATTTTGTTAATACAAACCCTTCATATTTTAGTAGGTGGCCCCCTGAAAACCTAGGGCTGCTTAAAATTATATGACCAGGCGTGTCCCCTCCTCCCATCCCCACCAGCCCTCTGCTGCTGGGACGATGCCTGCAGAGTTGCGGTATTCACTCTCGACAACTGTGCTGATGTAAATATTTAGAGAAGTCCTTTCCATTAGAGATTAAACAAAGTATAAGTAACGGTTCCACTGTTCCTAGAAGAAAGATCTTAGGAACACTTGCAATAGCAGAGCCTGTGCTATCTGAGGCACAGGTTATGGTACTGTAGACCGGATGAAAGACTAAAGGGAAAAGAATCAAAAGGGGAATTAGAAGGGACTGTGTGTGATTCCGGCTGCAACATATCACTTTTAAGTTATCGCTGTAGAGATGGCAGTGTTTGAAGTGAACAGGATGTAGAGATAGTGAGTTCATTTAAAATGGAAAACAGTTTTTTAAAAAGTGGCTACTGGTGTTTTAATGGTTTTTAAGAAAATGTGGCAAGGAAGACAAAGCTGGGGGGGGGTGCCCCAGTTCAGAGTCCTCAGCTACCTCTCCATGTGGTCACCACGGTGAGGTCACGTATCTGCTATCCCACCTGATACAAATCTGCTCTCTCTATTATTAGTCAAACTCTGCTAAAAAGGACAATGATTATGCTCGAAAGCTTCCATCAGTGTCACTTTTTAAACAGTGTGGCCCCCCCAGGTCTCGGGATCCACGCTCACCTATGTCCCTCTCTGTGCCTCTCGAGTGTGTGTCCACGGAACCTGCCTCCAAGACCCCATCAGGATGCCAGTCCTCTCATGTTCAGGTCCCTTGTTTAATGTGGCATCATCTTGCCATGTAACTTCCGCACTACAGAGATCATCTCCAGCTGTGTGTGGCGACACATGCCTGGAATCCCAGCGCTTGGGAGGCTGAGGTAGGAGGATCATTGCAAATTCAAGGCCAGACTGGGCTACATAGTGAGTTCAAGTCCAGCCTGAGTGACAGAGCAAGACCCAGTCTCAAAACAAAACAAAACACCAAGCTTACAAACTTATATCAGAGGTTATTTATAGTATCTGTTTTATGTCTGTAACAACCTTTTAAATAATGCTGACTCTCAGGGGAATCTGGGGATGTGGGGCCTGTAACAGAGGAGAGGCCAAGAAATTTAAAAATTGGAAACTTCACTGGCAGAATTTCAGATTAATTTTAGTTTCAGTAATCCCTATGATGTCTGACTAGGAAAGGTGTATATCCATCAGAGCATTGCAGTAGTTTTCTTCCGGTGCTTACCTTAAAATACAAAGCTGTGACTTTAATTCAGCTTATTTGTTAGCAGGTCACTCTCTAAGACTGCTTATTGGTATCTATAGTTTTCTCTCCTGTACAAGAGAAGACTTAAAACTTCATGTTATTTTTGCCATGAAAGATAACCTTAAAACATCTACAGCAGGATTTTACTCCTCTGTGCTTTGCTCCAAACATGTAACAGTAACATTTATTGCTGAGTTTCCAGTTGACTGACTGTCACTGTAGCCATGTGTAGGGCTAAACCACAGGATCTGTGGACTAGTATGAAAGCTTGATGGCTAGAGGGATGTCTTCGTTACTTTTTGTGTTGCTGAGATAAAATACTTGACCCCCATAAGTTAAAGAAACAAAAGCTTACTTCAGCTCACAGTTGCAGAGGTTTAAGTCCATGGGCAGCTGACGCCAAGGCAGAGTAGCACATGGAGAGGGCATCCCAGAGAAGAAATAGTCCATGGTGTGGCGGGCAGAAGCCAACAAGCAGCCACAGCAACACAAGCCTTCGCTCTCTCCCTTTAAATTCCAACCACGCTGCAAGCCTGTTGATTGGTGCCACCTACACCGAGATATGGGCTTTCCTTATCCATACCCAGAAATAGGGCAACCCATCTGGTTACCATGCACCGTTATTGCTAGTGTTACACACTCCAGATCCAGCCACGTCCGAAAAGTGCCACCTGTGAGCGCCTGAGGCTTTATGGGACATCTACAAGTCATAACAAGATAGAAGCCATAACAAAGACACTCATGTATTTGGGCTTCCCCTTTTTGGAACCTGTGTCTTCTTGATTTAGACTCTAATGAGAGGGATCCACATTAGCAGACATGATATTGATCTCCATTTTAAACCCTGCTGCATAATTAGACAAGTCATTTGGGTTGTCATTCAATTGCACCCTTATAAAATGGAAAACGGGCCTCCTTTTGTTTAGAGAAGGCAGGAAACTGATCTTGAAATCCCTCTAACAGTAAGATTAATAAACTTTTCCCTTACTTTCATTTTACTTTATTATTATTTTTTGTTCTTTTTGAAACAAAGTCTCACTGTGCTGCTCAAGCTGCCCTTGAACTCACCTGTAGCCCAGGCTGGTCTCAGGTGTGGAGTGATGCCCCTGCTCAGCCTTCTGGGTGTGGACTTAGAGGCGTGCACCACCACACCGGCTTCCCTTTTCCTTCTTGCAGTGTATTCTAACCTCACTTAGTTCTCTGTAAGAATATTAAGAGGGTGAAGTTAGAGCTTGAATTCAAAAACATAGTTTCTCACTGTACTTTCCTGGGAACCATGTGAGGGTTTACTCACCAGAGTGAGTAACCTGTGTGTGAGTAAACCAGAGTAAACACTGGTTTACTCTGCAAACATCTGTTGTTAAAATTCAGAGCCTTCACAAATGACAAAATTCAGTTCTCCCTGTGTGTTCTTACTGACCTCCAAAGGTTTGGGCTAAAGAAATGCTATTTTTACATGGGTTATCTCATGCCTCCCTCACAACAATTAAAACATAATATTTTTGTCATTTTATGAATGAAAACAAAAGAAGATAGTCATGGGCTGTTACACCATATTTTAAGAGCAAACAAGCCCCCCCACAAATCTGTTGGAGAGGAAAACAGAAAAAAACCTGAAATTGGACGCCCTAACTAAAATGTCTTAAATTTCATTAATCCCATAAATAATTAGACTATTTACTGAAATTTATTATGTGCTGATATCATAAAAGTGAGAAAAACATTTCTGCCCTTTCAGTATTTTACAGTGGTTAAAATATGGAAACGTGATTATGACTGGAGTTAAAAATTAGTACTTGGTAACAGAGACCATTTCTTTTTTTTTTTTTTTTCCTTTTGTCTTTTTTATGAGACAGGGTCTTGCTATGCAGTTCAAGCTGGCCTTGAGCTCACTTTGTAGCCTAGGTTGGTCTCGAACTCTCAATGATCCTCCTGCCTCAGCCTCCCGAGTACTGGGATTACAGGTATGAACCACCACGCCTGGCTAACAGAGACCATTTCTAAGCTGTGGAGTCCCCGAGGTTTAGATTTGTTAGAACAGAATTGGAAATCAATTGCATGGTTTACCCTAAGCCAGACCCAGAGTTTTCTCTGGAGAACAAGGGCCCTATGGCACTGTGGGACGAAGAGCGAAGGGAAAATGATTTTGTCGTCTTGAGATTTATAAGCAGTGAACAGTGGTCACCACTTGGAACAATGCATGTAGACAGTCACAGGAAGTGAGCTATGCACTCTATAAAGGGTCCCGGCGTTGTTAGGTAAAGCTTGGGATGGAGCCGCCTGGTTTGGCAAAGCCAATTTCCATTTTTGGCACATTGATTAATTTCTAAAGTTGAACCCTCACACTGGTTCATTAAGTGGAATTACTTTACCAAACAAACACTGAAATATTGTATGTTTAAAAATAGTTCAGTTTTGTCCATCCCTCCGAGCATTTCTCAAACCTTTTATGGTAACCCCTTGACCGCTACTTGGAATATAAAACTGAGTCTACTTGAAGCGCCAGCTTGGCCAACGTGAGTCAACAAGTCATTGGGATTTGTTCTGTATGCTTGCTGGCCACCCCTGCTCACCACAGATGCTAACTCTGCAAACATCTGTTGCTAAAATTCAGAGCCTTCACAAATGACAAGATTCAGTTCTCCCCTGTGTGTTCTTACTGACTTACAAAGGGTTTGGGCTAAAGAAATACTGTTTTTACATGGGTTATCTCATGTCTCCCTCACAACAATTAAACCATAATATTTTTGTCATTTTATGAATGAAAACAAAAAAAGATAGTCAAAACACTTACGAAACCGATCAAAATGACCCAAACAGAAATGGTGGGCCTAAAACACTTCTTGAGGTCTCCTAACCTAAGGAAAAGCCTTTCTTGTGACACCGTTGTTCACTAAACCCGTTCAAGAGGATGTCAGTGGAGGTCTAAGTGAAGGAGAGCTTTCTCTGTGCAGGGGAGACAGCTCCCATCACCTCACTGCACAAAAAGTACTGTCAGGGAGAGTAAAGCAGGTGAAGCAGTCCCCGAAGTACAGTGAGTTTTTACATTGTTTCCAAAGCCAGAGCCCAATAAGATCACAACTGTGGCTCCTACAAGACCCCTCTGGTCAGTGAATGCTAGGGTAGAGTGGTAAAAGGTAAAGATGTGAAGGAGGCAGAATCCTCAGGAAGAGCTCATTGGAAATGAGGGTGGAGAAATCTAAAATTTTTACTTCAGCCACTGGATGGTACCATTTTTTGAAACAGAAAATAGTAGAGAAAACACCAGCACATGTTTACTATGCTTCAGTAGGCAGGGTTTTGGAGATATCGTATTCAGCATGACCCCTCATCTTATTCAAGTGGACAAAGGGTGGCCAGAGAAGTGATCTTATTGGAGCCACACTGCCACGGAGCAAAGAGGGACCCTGAGTCCAGTGGTCCTTCTGTACCACTGAAGGCCACATGGCAGACGGCTCTAAAAACTGTCATTCCAGAAAAACGCTCTGTGGGATTTCTGGCAATCTCATTGCATATTTGTTGAATTAATGGTCTTTTCAGGGAGAATTTTCTGTTGATGGGCTAAGGATTTGTTTCACAATCTCTTCACTTCCTTACTCCAAGAGAAGTCAAAACACAAAAAGTGAAAACAAACTGTTGTCCTGACCTAAAGTGATGCATACTTGGGGACCATTGAAAAAAAGGCGATGCACTTTCGTTAAAAGGTTAACAATTTTCTCATCAAATGTATTCTAACTCTACTTTTTGGTTAAAGGAGCTTCAAATCTTAACTCCATGTGGAGTAAGTGTTGTTATGCTCTCTGTTCGTGATAATTGGCACCAGTATAGTTTTATACCCTAAACGGACACTTGCTCATCCTACTGTGACTTTTTTCAGTACCCTTTCAAAATGGACAGAGGTCTTGCCATCCTCATTGTATGGAGAAAGCTCAAGCATGCTGAGTCAGGGTGTGGCATCACTACTAAGTGATGATAAAAGTGAGCCCCAGCTCTTGCAAGGGGTTATTTGCTTTGCTTTCCTGTAAGAGTCCGTGCATTGCCTTGATTCTCAAATATTTCTAACAAAGTGTCTACAGTTTGTATTATTTTTTCGGGTTTGACTCGAAAGGCAAGAAGAAATCTTGGTTGCAAGTAAGACTTTTACTTGCTGACAAGCCGAATTGGTAGACCCTTGAGGACCTGTCCCTTTGAAGTTCCTTTTATAGGGAGGAGAGGACCCCCAAGATAACTGTTGTTTGATGATCCTTAAGGAAAAGGGAACCAACCAATCCACATAGGACATTTATTTTACTAGATATGATCAAAGAGTCTGTGTCAGGATAACAGCTAAATTCAAGAATTTTAGGATAAAGTTCCAAAAGTTTCTTATCCTATCAGCTGGGAGCTGATTAACTGTGGGTCTCATGTTCTTATCTGAAAATTTATAGGGATAAGAAAAAGCTTTAATATCCTCTTAAATTCTATAATTATATGCATCATCCTGACGTATATTCTTGTTTTGTTTTTGTGGTATGGGGAATCGAACTCTTGACCTCGTGCTTGCCAGGCAGGCACTCTGACGTATATTCCTTATTTCTACATATTTGTTTTTTATACTTCCTCTTTCTCCCTCTTCATTTATCTACGTCCTTTTTCCCCCTTAATGTCCTATAACTTTCTATCTATACTCTGTGCTCTTCAAATAGCCATTAATAACAGCTCCTGTCTTTTAGTTTCTGTTCCACTAAAATTCCAGCCTCATGTATTTATGGTTGTTAGCATAGGAAACAGTTATTTTTATGAACTCTATTGTAGGCTTCTTGAGCCAGACACCACACTTTATTTTTCAGTGGGATCGGCCTGAGGCAGCTGCTCCAAGCCTTTGCTGAAAAGGTCTTTATTTGTGAGGGTGATAAAGATGGATGCTCAAGATGTGGCATTTGTCACTTAATGATCACCTGCAGGGCTTCTTATCAAGGTGGCCAACGAGTCCTTTTTAAACTCGAAACCTTGGGGAATGAGACTTGGGCTTCTGTATTCTTTTTTTTTTTTTTTTTTTTTAATTTTTATTTAAGGAGAAAAGAAAAGAAAAAAAAACAGTGAAGGGTACAAGTTATACAGATTTACAGAAGAAAAAAATGCGCAGTAGGAAATCACTAGTTAATAGATTACATATTGCCATCTTAGAAATAATTGTTCAAGTCACAGAATTAAAGTTTGTAGAGTGGACATTCCAGCAATGATACTGCAAACAGTTCTGTTCAATGATCCATTAGGACTCTGTGATATCATTTTCTGTCTTATACATTTAAATATACATGCAGTTATATAGTTTAGAGCATTTTCTTTTCCTCTCTTTTGTACAGTGACTATTACACATTTTGGGTTTCATTGCTCCCACTGTTCTTATTGCTTTTTTGGAAGAGAGTAAAACCAAATGTGACATAACAGAACAGAATCGGTCAAGTCAAAAGGGTGGATATAATAGATAATATAAAAACATAATACAAGGTGATCAACAATGGTTACCCTAATGCCTCCCGCTATTTCTAATAGAATGGCTTCTGTATTCTAACCAGATTGCCACACACAGCAAACTTCAGGAGCCAGAGGTGTAGACCTTAGGCTCTCAGTGCCACAGGAGGACCATTTCTGTGCAGTGCCTTCTTTTTTCCAACCTGTTGACCCAGTGTATCCCATCAGCGATCGCCAGGGCTCCAAGGGCCTCTGGTTCAGTGACACCCATTAATGTCTGCATCTCTGGCCCTTAAAAAGTAGCTTCTTTCTAACTATTCATGAGTTCCCAGCTTCTCAAGTTACCAGATCTCT